CCAGAAGTTTCCTTAAGCTTCAAGGAAGTGTAAGCTACAGAATACTCGTCATGCTGTATCGGCCTATTATACATTTTCTGGCTATTTTTATTCTTCCATTTCTGACATCCCCTAACATACAAGATCAGAATTTTTAATTCTCAAAATGACTTAACATAATGCTGTCAAATGAGCCCATAGAATTAGCAGTTTCTTATTGAAAAACTGATTCTGAATAAAAGTGGAAAAATACTTGCTTCATAAATGTTTTGTGGCCATCAAAATGCTTCAGTGTTATTCTATGGGTCAAATTGTTGAGTAAAAGCATTTTGCATAATTTCGCACAATCTGGTAGCCTGATAAACCAGACTAAATGTGAGATTAAATGTGTAATTTAGTCTGGCCCCGATGAATTCAGAGATTGGAAGATTGTTGATGAGAACAACCCGACCAATGGCGCAACTAACTGTGACGTAGTAAGCACGACAGAAAGCTTGTGGGGGAGTGTAAACAAATAGCCTGTCGGTAAAATGGCGAATACCTCCTTCTTAAAAATGAATGAGCATAGAGCCTCTTCCTGCTCCCGTTTCAACCCCACCCCTCTCAAGCATGTCTTTATTATGGCTAGAATCGAGAATAAAAAAACAACATTGAGTCCTGTTTTAACTGATGCAGCTTAGGCTGTGTTTTACTTTATATTTTCACAAACTAGAAGGTGTTGCTCTCAAATGATGAATCACATATGTAATTTGGACTTACAATTTATTTATTATTATTTATTATTATTTCGGTATCCAAAATAGGCGAGGATTACTTCAAATGACGTGGGTGTTAAAAAAAACTTAGGTAATGACCAGTGTTAGGCACGTTACTTTGAAAAAGTAATTAGTTATAGTTACTAGTTACTTCTCTCAAAAAGTAACTTAGTTACTAACTGAGTTACTCCACATTAAAAGTAACTAGTTACTAGTAAAAGTAACTATCACGTTACTTTTGCGTTTCTCTCCCCCGTAACCCTCACCACCCGGCACCCACCATCTCACCATGTGTTTCAAAAGCCAGATGAATAGAGTGGACGACAAAGACACGTACCTGCAGAGAGTTTTGCATTTATTGCAACTCAACGTAAATGATATCAGTGGGGAACGGTATCTGACGGGCCTATAAAACCTGTCAGATAGCGTTCGCCCTGCTTAACATGGGAGCAACAACGTAACACTGGTATTTCCATCCAGAAAACGCTGTTTTGCTGCTGGATTCCTCCTCACTCTCCATCTCTCTGTGTGTGCTGTACGTTAACACCCACCAGCGGAAACACCCACCTACCCAACTGACAGACAGAATCTCACTATACATCAGCCAATCTCATCCTCCCCTCTCTCATGACAAGGCGTGTACGAGTTGAAATCATCATGAAAAAAAGGTAAATTGTGCGACCTGAATAACGTGCAGTAACGGGGTGTCGGTAATGGTAACTGCGTTATAGTTACAGTCAAAGTAATTAGTTAGATTACTTGTTACTAAAGAAATGTAACAGCGTTAGTAACGCCATTACTCCCAGATTAATGTCTATGCTAGTACTGCATGTCAACCTCATAACAGGCAAATTAGATGGAACTAGATGGAGTTGGTAACATTGCCTTTAAACATATTAAATAAACAATGGAATGACAGTAGCTGAATGAATATTCAAGGGTTGAAGTACCCAATTTTCCAAACAAAGTTTAAACAGACAGTTATAGAAAAGTAAAGTTCTGATTTAAGTAAGACTGAAAAAATTATGGTGTATTTTTGTATAGTAAGCTTTTTAATTTCTGTCTTAACTAATGATCTATATTCTTTCAGGTTTTGGAAAAACCATGTAGCCACCTGAAAGCATTCAAGTGTCAATACAATTCTCTACTACATAGTTTTTTTCTAAACAAAGGAATTTATTTTATTCTGTTTATGACTTTGAAACACACCCATGGGATAAATCTCTTTGATACAAAAATAGAAAGGTTACATACTTATGCACTTATGAAACAAATGAGTGCGAACCAACATTTTCTTTCTTTCTGCATGTCTTTGATGGTTTGACCAATTTTGCTCCTATATATATCTCCAAAAGTATAGATCTCCCAAACAGATTTCTATTTTCTTAAATATTTGAAGAAACAATTCTGATGGTAACTTGATATATTTGAATAATTAAAAAAAAAATGCTATGTACTTTTTTATTTTACATTTAAAGTCCAGCAGACAATACTGTTAAAACCAGTTATTTTAGTATAGGAAAAAATAAAAAGGCATATATGTTTTTAAGGGCTTTTATATATGGGATAAAGAAGAATAAGTTAACACAATATAATAAAACAACAATACGTTACATACTGCATTACTATTGTTATTAACATAGTTCTCAACAAACTATTTTTGAACTGTAAAGTGCCTTGACATGACATGTGTTGTGAATTTGCGCTATATAAATAAACTGAAATAAAATGAATCCAATTTAACAGCTGCTGCAGTGTCCTGTTCTTTTTTCTAGTTTGAACATGTCTGGTTCTCTTTTCGTGAAACTGATGGAAACTTAATCTTATAGGGGTTGATTCCCAAAGAATATATAGTCTATTAGATAAATACATTTTTAATTCTACAATCCATAAATGTAGTTTTGGCAAGAAAACCTCTTTGCTAAATATTAATTTTATGAAATATTAAACTTTGGAAAAAATTATGTTTGCTGCCATGACTTTACATTGTTACCTCTGTGAATATCATTTCTTTAAAAAAACACTATCTAGCTTTGTCAAAAATGCATTGTTTTCTAAAGTTTGAAAATATAATTGCACACAATTTAAAGTGATGCATAAGAGAGTCATTTGAGCCTTATTGAATTAATAATTTCATAGCTAAAGCTAATGCATACAAAAGAACACAGCCTTTCCAAAATCAGAGGAACAACTCTGAGGCAAAGTAGTGTGATAGTATATATAGTTATATAATCATTCAATATAATTACTTTTGTTATTTTAAAACCTTTTTGTGTTAGGTGTCACACCCGTTTCTATAAACAAGACAAGAAAATGGCATCTGGTTTGGTCACCTGAATGGAATGACTATTCAAACGGAATGTGAACCAATACAGAAATTATTGTTGTTCAGTTGGTTTCATACCTTAGACACAAAACATTGTTTTAAATACATTTCTTGGCTTACGTCATACCTCTGATAAAAAGTCAATATATGTAAGGCCCAGCAGCAGAGTGGTTCACTAGAAGTTTAAGGTGAATAAGGAGAGGTTAAGCGCAACGTTTGAAATCAGCAACTACTTTCTGTAAGTACATTTGAAATTCTATGAGAAGCACATAATTAGAAATGATTACTCATTTCTTTTTTAATTTTAGAATGAGTCACTAGTTGCAGATCATGCAACATTTTCATTTTCCTTGAAATAAAATGTACATGGTAATCCTAAACAAAAGAATGGTTTCACACTATTATTACTATGGTTTTGATGTAATTTGTGTTTGAGGATTTCAGTGTTATTGTTCAGGTGTATTTGGAATGAGGTTAAACATCTTATATTGCCTCCAAAAAATACTTGCAAGATTTTTGAAAATTAACTTAACTGTTCTATTATTCCTTTCTTACAAATCTTAGCACAACTAAACCACCTCCTTCTGATCACTGACAAATAAAATAACAATGGATAAATAAATACAACTAAGTTAAGTACACTAGCTGATGAGCTACGAATTTGGTATTGTTATTTATATAACTTTAGCAGAATTGGTTTAATATTTTGACCAGTGTTGCTTTGCTTCTACCTACTAAATTGAGTGTTTTACTCTTAGATCAAGATATTTAGAATGGTTTTCCTATTAATATTTCCTTTTCCATAATAGTGTTCCTATATATGAGCTTTATTATTCCCTTTAAATATGCATTGTCGCTTTACTTAAAAACAGCAGTTTGATATCGGCCACTTTATTTTCTGAATACGATTTAAAAGCAGTGGAAGAGATTTAAAAGAGGATAGCTCTTAATAGTTCATAATACACGTAGTTTTCTTCTTTAAAGCTTTATTATGTTAAATATTGCAGGCTACAAATTGAAAATGGGGGCTGCAGGAATAATAATGATACTTCTGTTACTAAAAGGTAAGCTAGTATAAAATCATTAAACGTTTCAGTGAAGCTTTGTACCATTGGCAAAATGAATATAGATGTCATGATTCTGCCACAGCTACAGCTGAACAAATCAGTACCACAGCCACTCCTACCACAACAACTGCTGCTCCTACAATGACAACAGCTGTTCCTACCACAACAACAGCTGCTCCTACAACAACAGCTGCTCCCNCAGCCGCTCCCACCACAAGAACTGCTGCTCCTACTACAACAACGGCTGCTCCCACCACAACAACTCCTGCTCCTACTACAACAACGGCTGCTCCTACCACAACAACTGCGGCTACTACCACAACAACTGCTGCTCCTACCACAACAACTGCTGCTCCAACAACGAGGACAGCTGCTCCGACCACAACAGCTGCTCCTACCACAACAACTGCTGCTCCTACCACAACAACAGCTGCTCCCACAACAACTACTGCTCAAACAACGACAACAACTTCTCCAACCACAACAGCTGCTCCTAGCACAACAACTGCTGCTCCCTCCACAACAACAGCCGCTCCTACCACAACAACCGCCGCTCCCACCACAACTGCTGCTCCCACTACAACAACGTCTGCTCCCACCACAACAACAGCTGCTCGAACCACAACAACTGCTGCTCCCACAACGACGACAGCTGCTCCTACCACAACAGCTGCTCCTACCACAACAACTGCTGCTCCCACTACAACAACTGCTGCTCCTACCACAACAACAGCTGCTCCCACCACAACAACTGCTGCTCCCACAACGATGACAGCTGCTCCTACCACAACAGCTGCTGCCTCCACAACAACAGCTGCTCCCACCACAACAACAGCCGCTTCCACCACAACAACTGCTGCTCCTACTACAACAACTGCTGCTCCCACCACAACAGCTGTTCCTACCTCAACAACAGCGGTTCCTACCACAACAACAGCTTTTCCTACCACAACAACAGCCACTCCTACCACAACAACAGCCACTCCCACCACAACAACTGCTGTTCCTACTACAACAGCTGCTCCCACCACAACAACTGCTGCTCCTACAACAACAACAGCAGCTTCGACAACAACTGCTGCTCCCACTACAACTGCTGCTCCCACTACAACAGCTTCTCCTACCACAACAACAGCTGTTCCCACAACAACAGCTGCTCCAACTACAACAACAGCTGCTCCCATCACAACAATAGCTGCTCCCACCACATCAGTTGCTCCCACCACAACAACAGCTGCTCCCACCACCACAACTGTGACTCCTACCACAACACCACCTGCTCCAACCACTCCACCTGTGGAAGGAAAGACAATAAAGCGGCTCACCTTTAGGTCTACTGACGAGACCTTTACAAATGATTTGCTGAATCCATTATCTCAAGCATTTAATGACCGATCTGAACTTTTGACGTCTGTTGTAAGTGTGCTTTTAGTATGTATTAGATTTTTATCCACTACTGGATCAAAATAACATTTTTAGAGCTTGTACATTTAGAAACCAAGAAAAAATTATTTCTGTCTATAGAAATGAGAAATAACATTAAAAACAAAAGGTAGATAAAGTTTTTAATGGTGGCCAATCAACATATTGGAGAAGTTGTGTCCTGCATCTTTTAGATTCTAATAATTTGTCATTGAATAAGGTTATACGGAAGAGATTAAAGAAGGAAAAAAAATATTTTTTTGTATACAGTTTAAGATTCCCTCAGTCTAAAAAGGAGAATTTGAATACCTATTGAAGAGGTAGAATTTCATTTTGCACCTTAAATAATGCAACTTTTAAGTTTATTATTTACTGAAAAGTGTTGGTCTTTCCCCAGCTTACACCAGTCTTCCAGGAAAAGTTTTCTTCATTCGAAGACCTTTCTGTGGTTTCATTCAGGTAGGATTCTGAGAAAAAAAAAAAACTAAAAACATTAAAGATTAACTAACCTTTTATTGTCTTTAAAGTCAAGGGTCAATAATCAACAACATTGACCTACAATTTGGATCAGCCTCAGCTCCTGAAACTGACACTATATTAAAAGTGTTGGTCAATGCAGCCGAAAGCATCACAGACTTTAGCATTGACACCGAATCCATTTCTGTACAAGACACAAGTAAGCTCACCACAAGTCCTACAACACCATTAAGGAAAGTATAGCATAAAAATTAATAAACATTTTTTTACTTACCAAAACTACAGCCACTGCTACCACAACTGCTGCTCCAAGCACAACACCTGCTCCAACCACAACAGCACCTGCTCCAACCACAGCAACAACTACTCAAACCACAACAACTGCTCCTACCACGACAACAGTCTCTCTTACCAAAACAACAGCCGCTCCTACCACAACAGCTGCTTCCACCACAACAACTTCTGCTCCTACCACAACAACAGCTGCTCCCACCACAACAACTGCTGCTCCCACCACAACAACAACTACTCCCACCACAACAACTTCTGCTCATACCATAACAACTGCTGCTCCCACCACAACAACAGCTGCTCCTACCACAACAGCCGCTCCAACCACAACTTCTGCTCCTACCACATCGACAGCTGCTCCCACCACAACAACTTTTGCTCCTACCTCAACGACAGCTGCTCCCACCACAACAACTGCTGCTCCCACCACAACAGCTTCTCATACCACAACAACTGCTGCTTCTACCAAAACAACAGCTGCTCCCATCACAACAACAGCTGCTCCTAGCACAACAACTGCAGCTCCTACCACAACAACTATTCCCACCACAACAACAACCTCTCCTACCACAACAACAGCTGCACCCACCACGACAGCCGCTCCAACCACAATAACAGCTGCTTCAAGCACAACAACTGCAGCTCCTACCACAACAACTATTCCCACCACAACAACAACCTCTCCTACCACAACAACAGCTGCACCCACCACGACAGCCGCTCCAACCACAATAACAGCTGCTTCAAGCACAACAACTGCAGCTCCTACCACAACAACTGCTGCTCCCACCACAACAACTGCTGCTCCTACCACAACAACAGCTGCTCCCACCACAACGACAGTTGCTCCCACCACAACAGCTTCTCCTACAACAGCCGCTCCTACCACAACAACAGCTGCTCCCACCACAACAACAGCTGCTCCTACCACAACAACAGCTGCTCCCACCACAATGACAGCTGCTCCCACCACAACAGCTTCTCCTACCACAACAACAGCCGCTCCTACCACAACAACAGCTGCTCCCATTACAACAACTGCTGTTCTTGCGACAACAACAGCTGCTCCTAGCACAACAACAGCGGCTCCTACCACAACAACAGCTTCTCCTACCACAACAACAGCTTCTCCTACCACAACAGCCGCTCCAACCACAACTTCTGCTCATACCACAACGACAGCTGCTCCCACCACAACTGCTGCTCCTTCCACAATAACAGCTGCTCCCACTACAACAACTTCTGCTCCTACCACGACAGCTGCTTCCACCACAACAACTACTGCTCCCACCACAACAACAGCTGCTCGCACCACAACAACTTCTGCCCTTACCACAACAGCTGCTCCCACCACAACAGCTTCTCCTACCACAACAACTGCCGCTTCTACTACAACAACAGCTGCTCCCATCACAACCACTGCTGCTCCTTCCACAACAACAGCTGCTCCCACCACAACAACAGCTGTTCTTAGGACAACAACAGCTGCTCCAACCACAACAACAGCTGCTCCTCCTTCCACAACAACTGCTCACACTACAACAACTTCTGCTCCTACCACAACGACAGCTGCTCCCACCACAACATCTGCTGCTCCCACCACAACTGCTCACACCACAACCACAGCTGCTCCCACCACAACTGCTGCTCCTATCACAACAACAGCTGCTCCCACCACAACAACTGCTGCTCCCACCACAACAACAGCTGCTCACACCACAACAACAGCTGCTCCTACCACAACAACAGCTGCTCCCACCACAACAGCTGCTCCTACCACAACAACAGCTGCTCCCACCACAACAGCTGCTCCCACCACAACAACAGCTGCTCCCACCACAACAGCTGCTCCCACCACAACAACTGCTGCTCCTACCACAACAACAGCTGCTCCTACCACAACAACAGCTGCTCCCACCACAACAACAGCTGCTCCTACCACAACAACAGCTGCTCCCACCACAACAGCTGCTCCCACCACAACAA